GGAATTCATTAGAGGCATGTTCCAAGACCTGACCATTTTCCATCCACAAAGGGGACCCTGTATTTCCCCTCCTAAAACATGAGTATGTCTTTCCTACACCTCCGTCCCACCCTGTGCACATCAGCAAGAGCCCAGGATCACTTTGTATATGTGGCATCAGCTGAAGCCCGTCATGTGTATCACATGTGCCCACTGGCACCGTCTCCTCCCTCTGGACAGTCAGAGCTAGGCCAAGTGACGCCTCGGAACCCGGAACAACAACAGAAAATCTGTAACATCGAAATGACTCCCCCATCTCCATCAGTCATGTGCCTGAATTACTTCTGAACTTGACAAATACTTGAGCTGCCTGCAAATGTTATCTCATATGGTTTATTGCAAATAAATGAAACAGGCAAGTTTCTCCTTTCTGTGGAACACAGACTCATTAATATCCCAAAGCTGCTCTGCACAGGACCCAGATCTTCCCCCTCAGTCCTAACAGGACCAGATCGCTTCCAGATCCCACCTCATGATGACTGCTAGAAGAGGAGGGAGAGCATTCTTGGGGCTGCTGCTTCATCCCTGCAAAAGTGTGACCACCCCGTGTGTCTGGGGCAGAGGCTTGTGGTTCCCAGAGCTGACACATCTTGCACCTGCACACCACGCGGCAGCCAGGCTGAGATTTCCCCATGCTCCTCCACACAGGCTAACGTCTCCCAGCTCCAATGTGAAGCGGGGAAGTGGAAGCCCAGTTTCCACCTGGATTCCCTGGGCAGGAAGCTGAGAATGTGAGAGTGAGTCACCTTCTGCAGGCCGAAGTCTGCTTAAACATCCCCTGATTTATTGCAGTAAAAAGTCAGGAGACCCAGGGGATCTCCTAGCCTTCTCTCTGCCACCAAAGCAGTCCTACCTGTCGCCTCCTGAAGTGAATGGAAAGGAACGTCCCAGAACACTGAAGTCTGGAGTGGGTGCTGTATGACAGAGTCGGGAAATTAACATCTACCAAGTTCCTTCTCTCTGCCAGGTACCGTGCTAGGCACTTTACTTCTATCTTTCTCTAATCCTCTCAAGAATCTTTGACGATGATATCATTTGCCTCATTTTATAGATGAGAAATTCAAGTCTCAGAGTAACCTGCCCCAAGTTACACTTCTAGCAAGTCTTCAATCTCAACTTTGTTTGTGGTCAGACGTAACTTCTTTCCACTAATCTTTATTGACCTTTTCATTCAAAGCGTTTGAGTCAACATGGAGAACAATGTCAAACATTTCACTGGTATTCGTACACTCATCCTACAAATATTCATTGAGTATGTATACCAAGTATACTAAGATCTGTCATTTTAAAGGCTCTCTAGGGTGAAAGAAGGCAAAAGCAGCAAAAGCAGCTTGATAATGCAGGGCGTGTTCAGTAAATGTGTGCACGAGGCCTTGGGGACGGGAGAAGAAACAAAACAGGAGGCAATGCCATAAGACAGTAGACTGACTCAGTGTCAAGGGCCTGCAGTGCCCTTGAACCCTGAGGAAACCGAGCTGGGTCATAAGTCAACAAAAAGTAGAGACTGAAAAAGGAGAGATCAGACAGGAGATGGGAATGCAACAAGAAGGTGCAACAAGTTCACAGAAGAGGGCGAGGGGAATATAAAATAGAGAGAGTAGAGAGCATAACCTTGAAAAAGAATGGGAACTCCAGCTGGGTCCACATAAGGATAATGAGGTCCTAGGGGACAACAGAGACGAGCGAAGGCACAGGTGGCTGTCATGAAGGTAAAGGAATGATCAGTGGGAATGAAGGAGTAGGAGAGGTGAAAGCACAGAGGAGGGTGGTTACGGAGAGGTAGAGTTCAAGATCTTGTAAGTAGACACCCTTCTGGGTAAAGACAAGATCGAAGGTTTGGTCATTTGTGTTGATTCTAGAACAGCAGAGATGTTCAGTGGCTATGAAGAAGTCAGCGAATCACTTTTACGATGCGAGGTGTCCCTGGGGACAAGTTCTCCTTATGCAAGTCTGACATGGCACATTGAACAATGCCAGGTTCCTAACGCCCAGATACGAGGTGCTGGAGGAAGACGGACCCTGGAGAAGGGAATGCCTCTCAAATGGACCCAATCATCTGAGCTGGCAAGGAAGACCGACTCTCTCATTTAGGAGTGAACAGGGCTGTAAGAGCTGTAACTCAGCTCACTTCAGCCCAGACTTGCCTAATCCACACGTTCACGGCCAGAGAGAGTACTCATAGGTCGAACATTCATCTGGGATCCCTGGGCTGAGACTTCCCAACACAGTCTGATCAAAACAAGGAACGAGCATGGCTAACGCTGTTTTTTACCCCACCATGGCTGAATGAGTTTCTGAGAAAGACTGCACCCTTCTCAGGTGCGAAACATCTCATCTTCTTCACCATCTCCATGAACTCTCATAAAGAGTTTTAACAAGTATCTTTTATCTTGAGAGAGAGAGGAAGACAAAAAAAAAAAGAAAGAAAAGAAGAGAGACATGCACCAAAATAACCAGCTTTAACAAATGGCTACCGGTTTAAAAATAGTGCAGGGGTTTAAGTTTTGCCTTCATCTCAGTGGCTGACCTTGCTAATACAGTATGTAGATCTCTTGCCAACTAATCGGCGGACTGTAAAGCACAGCTTCAAGCTGTGGTCAATGATCTGTAACAGGAATGAATGAGAGGGTGTTAGCAGCCAGGGTCTGTAGCCTACTATCTGTATCTGACAGCTGTCACCCTCTCTGCAGAGGCCAAGGCCTAGACCTTCATTTAAAAGCAGCATGGCTGATCAGATTACTGGGACAGTGTGTCAAAACTGACTGTGCTGAACCAGAGAGACAGAAAGTAAATCTATAAATAGCAGTCTTGCCGCCTCTATGAAGCACTGAAGGATAACCAATACTGAGCAGCAAATGCAGTGTTTAGTCTTTGCAGCCAGTGGAATGCAACTGTGGCCAGATCAGAAGCCTTGCTCTATGATATAATGTACTGGAAAGATCGGCTTTATGGGCAAGAATTTAAAAGAGTTACATTCTTGGCGATGGTAATGGTCACACAGCAATAATTGGTTTGAACCAACTTTATGAGCTAACAAGGTTCTCTAGCACTTAATAATGTCCTCGGGGCACAGGGGCTCAGCAAGTCACCTTTCCCATAATGTGCCGGCTGCCTGTTTCCAACAGTCCACAGGGACTGCCAGTGTTGAAACACAGAAAGTGATAAAATAAGAGGCTCTCCATTTGATATCTATTATAGATGTCAACTGGGTCTTCAACCAGAACAGCTGCACAAAGTACTTGGGGAGAGTGGAGCATCATGAGGGTGAGTTATCTATAGTCTATGCTGATAGCACGGCTTAGACGCTGGACATCACCGGGTTATAAATGAGCCAGCTGACATTTTATAGTATGTACCAACTCTTCCAAGAACCATTTGTCACTCTTCAAGGTTTCCGCTGATAAAACTGGGATGTCTAAAAATTTGTCAACAGCCTCAGAAAGTAACCCCGAGGTCACGTCAGAGGGTGACAAAGTACGTGCTTACTTGACATTCTATAAACACACAAATGGAACACTGGTGGCGACAGTGTTGCAAAGGTATCTCCAGGTTGCAGAGTTCCAAATCAGCCTCGTTGTGGCTGCCAAGGACATGGACGTCGAGACAGTGTAGGCTGGGAGCGGTGCTTCCTAACCAAGCGGGCACGGACCCAGAGCGAGTGAGCGAGACCTCAGACCGGAGCTCTACCGTTTAGACCACTCCCACTGGGGTGGAGAAGATGGGAATTAGGCAAATGACTTTTTTCCAATGCTGGTGAAATTGTTCTCTTTTTAAAAAGGTTCAACTTAGTACTTTCAAAAATAATAAAAACAAGAAAAACCATATTAATAACAGCAAACACTTCCATATGCCTCTCTTTTAAGAGCTATATGTGTAGAACCCAATTAATCCTCACAATCTAATGAGATAGGTACTTGTATTGTATTTTGCAGATTAAAACCTGAGATACAGAAAGGTTAACCAACCTGTCCAAGGCAACACAATTAATAGGAGAAAAGTCAGGATTCAGACTTAGGCAGGCTGGCTTCAGAGCTGCCACAGGCACTCTTCCTTAATCCTGTGAAAACTGTCCCCTCAGGAAGAGACTATGTTAGAAAGTGAACACGGGGAACGAAAAGATCAAAGTGACTCATCCAGAACTATGCAGGAATCAAAACAGGAAGCGGAAGAACAAAAAAGGCCATCTCTGTTCTGATGGCTGACTCTGACTAACTTCATTCTGCAATGTTTATGTAGCATGCCTTTCCTAAGCACTTCTGTCTCCAGACACCACACTAGCCAGAATGATGGGTTCCAAAATGAGCCTCCGAGAAAGCCAGTTTAGTGTTTCTGCTCAAATGGGGGACCTTGACCCTGGAATGCCATCTCCTCACTATCATTTGCTTTGGCCTCTTCATGAAAGTGAGAAAACACCTTTTACTGAAGGAATACAGGACTGTGGGGGGCAGGGGCAGCAAGGGGAGCAGCCTCACACTGCTCTCAGGCCGATGGGAAACATCACAAGGAAGGGCTCTGAGCACAGATGAGTTGGTAAGCCTTCGGGCTGACCATTCAGACCCCTCTGTGCGAGTGCGGATGGCCATTCTGGGGCTGCTGCCCAGTAGAGGATAGAACAAGCCTAATTAAAAAGTGACATGTGTTCCCATGGCTTTAAAAGTGTCATACTGGCTGTCTGTCACTATCTCTTGGAATCCATGATATTGGAGAGACGAGGAGTAACTGGAGATCATTTATCAGCCTCCTGGATTCAACCCCACTGGATCCAAAAGTGGGGAGGTCCCGAAAAAGGTTAAGTGGTTTGCCCAAGAACAAACTGCCAGAAGTGACAGAGCCAGGCAGGAACCAGGCCTGAGAACTCCCAATGGAGGTATTTTTCTACAGCCCCACACAGCTGTCCATGGAATGGTGTATGAAATCAGTAAATTCAATTAAGTCGAATGTGCGTTTTGAAAAAAGTCAAGAATGAAGAAGTAGAGTTTGAAGACCATTCAACATTCATGAGGTGTGCCCATTTCAGGTCACTGGAGATGCTCTCTGGTGCAAAGGTTTTCTTAATAAAGGGTTTCATTGGCCAGTTGGATCGAGACATGCACACACTGATATCTTGCTTCTGGCAATACCTTAAACCCCCAGTTAGGCAAGTATAAAAAACAGCAATGGCCTTGAGAGTGCAGCATGGTTTATACATGGCATACACATCTTTGAGGATTTGGAGAAATCTACAAGGGATCCAATGCTTTTCCACCTATTGACATTTACAAAGCAGTTTAAATCATGCATGAGAGGCCTCAGGCACATGCAGTTCACAAAACATAACTCCGAGCTCCCAGGGAATTTAAGCTGACCAACACTCTTTATTAGAACCGACAGTGAAAGACAGCTATTGCGAAATTCGTACCAGAAATGCAATACCAAGATGACAGCCTTAATGCCAGTGGATATATTATGTAGATTGCCTGACTCAAATCTTTCTTGTTAAATAAGTTTCATGTATTCTTTTTTTTCTCCTCAAGAATATCCTCTGGCTTCACCGGGGTAGTATTCCTTAAATTCCTTGATCATTCGTTTTTCAATATTTTGGACATGCTAAGTTAGCACAAAAGAGTAGACAGATATATTTAAACAGTGGGAAATAGTTAAACCTTTAAATGAACACCATAGCTGGACCATGAATTAAATATCTCAATGTTATTTTTTGTATAAAGTTCAAATATTTAATAAATTTTAAAAAGAAACATTTTCTTAGGGCTGATTTATTATAGATATTCAATTCCCATGTAACCTATATAATTATCAATTAAGGATAATTTCACCTGCGCGCTTTCGTAGGCCAAGAGTTTCAAGGAAATAATGTCCCAATAAAAACAGGCCAGGGAAAAAAGGCAGCAAACATACTTTTCCTCTCTAATCTTCATAGACATCAAAATACAATGTAGATGTTTTAAATTCTGCTTGAGGAAGAGACAG